CTCCCCGCTGAGCAGGAAGCCAGATGCAGGGGGCTCAATCCCAGGACCCTGTAGATCATGACCCGAGCTGAAGGTAGATGCTTAACCGACTGAGCCACCCCAGGTGCCCCTAAAGTCTAGTAATATTTCTTACTGGCCTTTCTCAGATCTGTCATCTTTTTTTTTTTTTTTTTTTTAATGTGAGGTGATTTTTTTTTTTTTTTGGTATGATTTAGAAGTACCTGATTATTTTTTTTTAAGACCTTATTTTTTAAGTAACCTCCACACCCAACATGGGGCTCGAACTTACAACTCCAAGATAAAGAGTCACACACACTACCAACTGACCCAGCCAGGTGCCCCTAGAAGTACCTGATCATTTTATTAAAATGTTTTAAGTAAAGGAGTAGTAGACCCCAGTAATGCAGATTTAGTTTCCCAATTGTTTTTTTGGTTTTGGTTTTGTTTTCAAGTAGGCTCCACACCCAATGTAGGGCTTGAACTCACAACCCCGAGATCAAGAGTTGCATGCTCTACCAAGTGAGCCAGTCAGGCACCCCTAATTAGTCTCCCAATTTTTAAATTAGCTAATCATCTGAGAGAAAACTAAAAACCTTAAAAGATTAAAGACCTAAATGCGAAAGGCAAAACCATAAATTTCTTAGAGGAAAATACCTTCATAACTGTGGAGTAGGAAAATACTGGTCAATTGTACTATATTAAAATCAAGAAGTTACGATCAAAGTTAACACGAAGAGAGTGAAAGACAAACCATAGAGTGGAAGAAGATATTTGTAATACATACAACGAGATAATTAGTATCCATTATATAATCTTAAAAATCAATGAGGAAAAGGTAGAAAACTCAGTAAGAAAAGTTAGCAAGAGACTGAACAGGCACTTTAAAAAACAAGCTATTCAAGAGGCCAATAAGCAGAAGGTGCTTGGTCTCATTAGTCATCAGGAAAATGCAAATAAAAACAACAATGAGATACTGCTATATAACCATCAGGTTGCCAAAAATCAACACATCTAACTGTACCAAGGACTGATGAAGTTGTAGAGTAGTAAGGACTATCAAACACTGCTGGAGGGAGTGTAGACTAGCATAATTTTGAAAAACAGGTTAGCATGATCCAGTAATCAAGTATGGTATCTATCCTAAGGAAATGTACGTTTAAGTGCGCCAGGATTCACGTATAAGGAATGATTACGGCAGCATCGCTTGTAATAGCCCAAAACTGCACACAACTTCAAGTGTTTTCAACAGAACGGATAAATTGTGATATAATCCTACAGTGTATTACACAGCAATGAAAATGAATGACTATAGCTACACACAACATGAAGAACCCTTACAAACATAACCTCGAGCAAAAAAAGCAGCAAAACTACACAAAGAATAATTCTGTTTCTATAAAATTCAGAAGCAAGCAATAAATTATATTTTTCAAGGAGATATACTTAGGTCATAAAACTATAAAGAAAAACAAATGATTATCATAAAAGTCAGGATAGTTACCTCTGGAGAAAGGAAAGGAGGAACCTCTGGGGTGCCAACCAAACCCACCTCCAACACTTACAGGGCTTCAGCAAGAGTACAAATAGAGGCCCTCATACCATGTATGTTAATATTTAACAGATATGAAACAAGCTTACAAAATATTAAATAAAATATGTTCTATCCTCCTATCATGACAAATATACCTTTATAACGGCCTGGAAAGCCAGATTCATACAGAGAATTTTGGGATTCCCCAGAGTCCCATGCAGAAACATGCTGATCCAGGGAGAACTGGCCACTGGTCCACCACCCATCACCCTCTTCTCCACCCCACACAGCCAAGGACCTCACACACAAGCATGCAGTCACCTCCACTCACAAGTCCAAGCTCCATCCCATACCCTACTCTCCACACACAGCCACATTTAGGCCATCCCTTGAATACACCAGCAGCCCAGCCCACCCTCAGAAGTATGGACCCCAGGAAAGGGACTCACACAGGCTCTGGAAACAAGCTCAGGGCCATTTGGGCAAGAAATTCTGGGATCCTAGGTACTTAAAGTATGGTCTACCATGGAAAAGTTCAGGCTCTAAGCAGGCATGTCCCACAGGGCCCAGAGACTCTGCCCCATGGAAGAGCACCAAAGTAGGGCCCACTAAAGCACAGGGCCAGGCAGGGAGCCCTCCTGCAGTAATAGTATTTCCTTAGACCCAGGAAACATTATATTTCTTAGCCTGGAAAGCAGTAACATGGGCACATGATCATTATTTGCTAAACTGTACATGTAAGTTCCATGTACTTTTTTTCCACAAATAAGGGACAGGCATCATGTGCCTGCTGATATAATACACAATAACACACAGAGACCCCTGCCAAAATTTCATAACCCGAATCTAATCATGAGGATATGATCAGATCCAAATCTAGAGACCTTCTGCAAAACAACAGACCTAAATTCTTCAAAACATGTCTGTGATAAAAGGTAAGGAAAGGCTGCAAAACTCTTACTTACTGAAAGAAACTAAATACATGTGAAGCTGAGTGGACTGCATGACCCTGAATAATTGGATTCTGGATCAGAAAGGAAAATGCTATAAAGGATACTATCAGCACAACTGATTAAATTTAAATATGGACAACTGACATTATATCAACATTAAATTCTTGTATTTCAATAATTGTACTAGAGTTATGTAAGAAAATTCTTAGGAGAGGGCGCCTGGGTGGCTCAGTTGGTTAAGCGATTGCCTTCGGCTCAGGTCATGATCCTGGAGTCCCGGGATCGAGTCCCGCATCGGGCTCCCTGCTCAGCAGGGAGTCTGCTTCTCCCTCTGACCCAACCCCCTCTCATGTGCTTTCTCTCTCATCCTCTGTCAAATGAATAAATAAAATCTTTAAAAAAAAAAAAAAGAAGAAGAAGAAGAAGGTAAAAAAAAAAAAAAAAGAAAATTCTTAGGAGATATATTCTGAAGTATGTAGGGATAAAGGGTCGCTATATCCGCAATTTATTCTCAGACGGCTCAGCAAAAAGAGTATGCATGTACATATAGAGTGATAAAGCAGATATGGCAAAATTGGGTAACAACTGACAAAGCTGAGGAAAGGGCATATGCACTTGACCATTCTTATAACTTTCATCTTTTAAAAATATTTTCAAGGGGCGCCTGGGTGGCTCAGTCAGTTAAGCGTCTGCCTTCATCTCAGGTCGTGATCCCGGGGTCCTGAGATCGAGCCCCGCATCGGGCTCCCTGCTCGGCGGGAAGCCTGCTTCTCCCTCTCCCATTCCCCCTGCTTGTGTTCCCTCTCTCGCTGTGTCTCTCTTCTGTCAAATAAATAAATAAAATCTTTAAAAAATAAAATAAAAATATTTTCAAAATTAAAAGTTTTTAAAATATACTAAAGGGTTAAACATGGAAGACGTTGTCTATGGCGCAGAGGAATTAAGATGACTGGGGTAAGATAAAGACTTCGCATTTTGTTCATTCTTCCATCTTATTTGTACTTCTCTAATTTTGTTCTTTTTCCCCAAAAAAAATCATTTTAACTTTGGGAGGAAAAAATCCTAGAACACTGAAAGAGGAAACATTAGCAACTGTAAAATAAGAAAAATTCTGTCCCTAAATTTATCTGTCAAATCATAGCCATCATCATCAAATGGTTACTCTGTAAAGTAGGCCCACAGAGGGGCTGCTGCAGGTATGCACCTAATAACAGACGCTTCCCAAGGCAATGGTTTGCAGAATAAGAGGGATAACTTAACATGGATGTTAACATTCTACTTCTAGAATGACCACAAATTTGTAACCTTTATTAGATAATCCAGAAAGTGGAACACACAGTTATATCACTTTTGCTATTAAGAGAAATTCATTCATTTTAACAAATATTAGTGACATTATGCAAAGCCCTGTAGATGACATGGAGAGATGTGCCCAACATGGTCATGGCCCTCAAGAAGGCAACTTAGCAGAGTAAAGGAGACTTGAAACCAAAAATCCTGGTTCTTCTGCACAGTGATGATCCTGGTAAATTATTTGACCAGAGATTCTATTTTCTCATAGGTATAATGGAGCTGCCACCCAACTATCTTTAAAGGGTTGTATTGTAAGGATAAAATGTCAAGCACATAGGACAAAGGAACAGATACTCAATAAAAGGTAGCTGTTTTGTGAGTATTACAGTCTAACGTAATGAAATAGAAAATACTGCATAGCCAATTAAGAGCACCACTGGAATCCTGATTACTCCAAGTTTCTAATCCAAGTAAATTCACTCTCCCTAAACACCAAGTAATACGCACAACTGTTTGTGTGTGTGGACCAAGAGTTGCTCCCTGACATACCTCTGGCAAATGCATCACTCTCTTAGTTACCAAGAAAAAGAACACTAGGTTACAGGGTTATTTTTTTTTTCTCATTAACCAAGAAGGATTTTAGTTGAGAATATACTCAGTCTTTGCAAGATACTCTAACCTTATCTGAGACCCTGTTGTCCAGGAATACACATCCAAATCAGTCCAAAATCTAAAGCCAGGAGAGGTGTTTTCTTCAACTCATTTCCAACTTTTACCAGCAGACATAAAATTTACTACATTAAATCCATTTCAAACATCTCCTTCCAGTTTAGTGGCAGAGATTTCCCTTTATATTATTTTGTAACCTAATTCTAAGCCTTCCTCATTAGCAAGGTGACAATATTTCATACTAAGCAGCTGACTTCCAGGCATCTGTGAAAGATACAAACCAAAACTCAATGATTACAATGAATAAAGCCATACTTCAAGCCTGTCATGGCAGTGACTCTTAAATTGTTCACTGTGCTTATTCTCCATTCCTTAGGATGATGTGGAATAAAAGGGAAAGACAAATATATTTAAAGATAAACCACAGTTTAGAATATTCACATATCCCACATGGACAGCTATCTCCACCTGATCTTAGCCAAAAGGCTGAGAAGCCATGTCCTGCACAGCCATCTCATACAATAAACACATATCATAATCAAACATGCAAATACCTGAAAGAGTGCCACCTGTCCTAGGATAGGCCACTTCAACATAGACTTCAAACGTGGTCTCTGGGTTCTGCCTACAAAAGAAACAGATTGTGATTACTGACAAGGATTGAGGCAGCATGGTATAGAACATGTGGGCTGTGGTATAAGGCAGACCTTATTTAAAATCATTAGCTCCACAACTTAATAGCTGGGGAACTTTGGCCAAGTTACTCAACTTCTCTGAGCCACATCTTCCTAATCTATAAAATGAAAGCACCTGGAGTGCCTGGGTGGCTCAGTCAGTTAAGCACCTGTCTTCAGCTCAGGTCATGATCTCAGGGTCCTGGGATCAAGCTCCTCGTTGGGCTCCCTGCTCAGTGGGAGTCTTCTTCTCCCTCTCCCTCTGCTCATACATCGCCCCCCACACCCGCCCCCGCCACTTGTGCTCCCTCTCTCTTCTCTCAAATAAAAATCTTCAAGAAAAAAAAAAAAATGAAAACACCTAACCAGAAGAATTATTGTGAAACTTAACACACGAAAACTGTCTAGGTACAATGCCTGACAAATAATAGGCTAGCTGTGATTATGATTTCACAGGCATCATATTTTGAATTTACACAGCTGTATCTCCAAAGCCACAGGTAGAATTTTGAGGAAACTCAAACCAAGGAAACACTAGCACAAAGTAGCTTCTCCCGCATATTCCAGGATAAAACACATATGATGCAGTTAACTTGCTTATTTACAAGTTTTAAAGACTGAAACAAGAGAAACGGTATCCTAAATCACTAGGCTATTATGAAGACAGGATGCTAATCTAAATATAAGATACCGTTTCCACATAGGAGGCTTCACCTGTGCTGGCAAGCATATGAATGTTCACTATTGTATCCTTTTACCTCTTTATGTCATAAATATATCAAAATAAGGCTGAAAAAGATCACAGCAGTTACAGAATATTAACAGTTGTTAATTCTGAATGATGAGAATATTGGGTTATATTAGCTTTGAGTTTTCTCTTTGATTCTGAAACTACAAAAAAAGATATTTCCAGATTGACTGAAAATGGTTTAGGAGAAAATGTTATACTTTCAAATGTCTACAATTGAATTCTAAAATTTTAAACCTGACAACACAGCTCAGTCACCTGATCAGATCTAACGGTTAATATCAAATAAATACCCTGAATTTGCCCAGTAGATTCCACTTCTCAAAATAACTCTCATTCATCTCATTTCAACCTCATTATAATCCTATGAGGACAGGTGGATCAGTTATTATTATTCTCACCATACAGGTGAGGAACCTGAGGCAAAGAGATTCTATGTGACTTGTTGGTGGTCCCACAGCTAGTTAGAAACACAGCCAGAACCTGAATTCACCCTCCTGGAGCTCGAATTCTGTGCTTCATTGATTGTAAGATGAACTTTTTTCCCCCCACACTCCCACATCTCTTACAATCTATTGCATCTTAATGCTAAATGGAAGCATTTTTTTTTCTTCCTTAGTAATACATATAATGGTGCATTTTACAAATAAGGGTATTAGATTCGATAAAACATTTTAATATTCCCTCTACTTCCTTAGGAGTAGAAAAATGTGTGTTTTGTCAATCAGGAATCTATTTCTCTTGTGAAAGATTATCATTCTTTCACTGAAGAGAAACTTAAGCTTTTGCTTTAAATAAGTACCTACAGTGAAAAGAGTTGGCTGCTCTAAAGTTCAAGGTATTTAAATATACCTTGTCAAATTTTAAAAATCAGACAGTAAAGCAGAGTATTTTACTTAATAGGCTAAATAAAACAAAGTAAACTGAAGTTTGAAGAGAGCCTTAAAATTTTTGTGTGTTTTCCCTGCAGGAGGATACAAAAAGGTCTACCAAGCTAGCTAGCATCCTTTGACCACCAAGCATTGTTGAAAATGTCTTACGGAAACATCCCTTTCATTCAAATGATCTCAAAGTAGAGTGTTTGATTAAAGAAAGGAATGTTCTAAGGCTATTTAAAGAGCATCAGGAAGACTCCTTCTAAAATCTAAACATAGCCTTCCTGGGGTGCCTGGGTGGCACAGTCGGTTGAGTGTCCCAACTCTTCAGCTCAGGTCGTGATTTCAGGGTCATGGGATCGAGCCCCACGTTGGGCTCTGAGCTGAGCACAGAGTCTGCTTAGGACTCTCTCTCTCCCCCTCTGCCCCTCCTCCCCACAACTTGCACTTGCTCGCTCTAAAATAAGCCAATATTTAAAAGAAAAAAACTCTTTTTTTTTTTCCTCCACACCTGGGTGGCTCAGTCGGTTAAGTGTCTGCCTCCGGCTCAGGTCATGATCCCAGGGTCCTGGGATTGAGTCCTACATCAGGCTCCTTGCTTAGCAGGGAGCCTGCTTCTCCCTCTGCCTGCCATGCCCCTGGCTTGCACGTGCATGCACGCGCCCTCTCTCTCTCTCGCTCTCTGACAAATAAAATCTTTTTCAAAAAAACTTTTTAAATAAACATACCTTTCTTAAGCCGATTTTGCAACTGGCTGAATTTCATCTCAAAATTTCATTTGGAAAATTGAAATAAAAAACACATGCCTACGGAGATATTACGTAACAAATTTTTTAACACTAAAGCTCTGATACATTAACCTGTGCCATTAGGTTAAGGTATTTTGTACAGATCTGCTATGTCTCTAAATGAAGACTGGACTAACATTGTCTATGGTCACTGTCTCTGCTGCTTCTCCGTATCTCTAACACACTTCAACCAGGCTTCTGAACCCACTACAGCACTGCAAAAACTTGTCACGATTACCAACAACCACATTGCTAAAATGTGCTAAAATGGCCAATTCTCAGGGCTTGTCTTATTCAACGTCTTGGCAGCATTTGACACAGTCGATAGATTTTTCTGTCTTGAAACACTTTCCTCTCTTGCCTTCCAGGATATCACTCTTTTGGTTCTCTTCCTACCTTACTGGCTGCTCCTTCTCATGTAAGCTCTCCTACCCTTGAATTTAGTCCTGGACCTCTCCCTCTCTCTGCTCATTACTTAGATGATCTCATTCAGCCTCATAGCTTTAATTACCATGCAAATGCTGACAAGCCCCAAAATCATGTCTCCAACCTGACTTCTTCCCTGACTCCAGACTCCCTTATCCAACTGCCTACTCAACATCCCTGCTTGGATATTCAAGAAGCATTTCTAATTTAACAAATGGTGCTTTTCTTCCTCAAACCTGAGTCGCTTGAATTCCACCAATTATTCAGACAAAAAAAGACCTGATATCATCTTTGACCCCTCTTTTATATATTAGCCACAATCATTCACATGTCACAACCAGCAAATTCTGTTGATTTGATCATCAAAATATAACCAGAATCTGTGGGCCTGGGTGGCTCAGTCGTTAAGCGTCTGCCTTCGGCTCGGGTCATGATCCTAGTGTCCCGGGATCGAGCCCCACATCGGGCTCCCTGCTCCACGGGAAGCCTGTTTCTCCCTCTCCCTCTGCCCCTGCTTGTGTTCCCTCTCTTGCTATCTCTCTCTCTGTCAAATAAATAAAATCTTTAAATATATATATATAACCAGAATCTGAATGCTTCTCAGCATCCCCAACCCTGCTATCCTTGCCAGATCACCGTATCTCATCGATGACTGCAATACTCTCCTGCTGACTGATCTTGCTGCTTCCTCTCTTGCCCTCCTTTAATCAGATTTCAACTTAGTGGTCGGTAATCCTTTTATTGCAAAGTCGGTTTAGGTCAGTCCTCTGTCTAAAAACTCCCTAAAGTGTCCCCCATCACTCGAAGTCTTAGTTCTAGAGATGGATAATGGGGATAGTTGCACAACAGTATGCATGTCTTTAATACCACTGAACTGTACACTACAAAAATGGTTAAGACAGTAAATTTCACATGTATTTCACAATTTAAAAAAAAAAAACTGAAGATGGGAGAAAAAAGTCTTTACAGGGTCTACATGATCTGGCTTCTCCCTCTCTCTCCAACTTCATTTCATACCTTTTTCCCCTTGCTACTGCTCTCCAGGCACACTGTCCTTCCTTCAGCTCCTCAAACACACCAAACTCATTTCTAACAGCCCTTTGCACTGATCTTCATATAGGTGGCCCTTCTTGTCATTCAAAACTCAACTTCTATTTCACCTCCTCAGAAAGGCCTTCCCCAATACACTCTCTACCATCTAATTCTAATTTTCCACAGCATATCTATTACAATCTTGGTCATTGTCAGTCTCCCTCCTATGAATGTAAACTGCAGGAGGATTTTGTCGCTCCTACCCACTAGTGTTACCCAGGTACCTAAACAGTGCCTGGGACATAGCCAGAATCAAATACTGAGTAGAAGAAATAAAGGAAGTACAGACCAGCCTTTCCCAGGGTCTGAAAGATTTCAATGATAGGAGTGATTATACACTTCCGTGATTCTCAAACTTTAGCCTGTGAAAAGAGATTTCCAGTCCTACTCCAGAGTTTGGGAGGGGTGGGGGGAGAGCCCAAGAAGCATTTCTAACAAGTAGCCAAATACTTGCTTACTAGCAGGTAATACTGAGGCTGCTGGACTATTGATCACACTTTAAGAATGAACCACTGATCAAGTTAAACGGAATTCTTCTTCCAAATAACTTAGTACATAAAACAAAATAAACTTAAGGTATACCTTAGTAATCCATCAACAGTGCTTTTGCAATAGAACAGATTTCAAAGAAAAATAGGATTTGTAGAAGCACGGAAGCTTACTCCTATTGCTTTCCATAGTTACTGCCTCATTCTAATGAGTAATAATAAAACTACCTAAGTTTTTCACTCAGTTCAAATAGCTGCGAGAGTTCTATTACATGGAGCCAAAGATTATGACAGTTCCTTAAGAAAAAAAAAAAAAGGCAAAAAGCTGACTAAAACACTAAGAACAAATTGGACTATAATTATAAGTTATAGTCATGCTTATCCATGATCACTTACATGTTGCCTTATGGAAGAAGTGGTGACTAATGTTGTGACAAGTTATATAACATACCAACAAATATACATAAGTTATTTTAAGGGCCAGTGAAGCCAATGCAGATGGAAGCATTTTCTATTTCTCTGCAAATCAAAAAA